TGCCGTTCATAGCGAAAGACTTTAATCTAATGAAATGGATTGGCGCCAACTCTTTCCGCACATCTCATTACCCGTATTCCGAGGAACTGATGGATATGGCGGACGAGACCGGGATTGTGGTCGTCGACGAGTGTCCGGCCGTCGGTTTAAACGCTTTTAACGACGCTTTACTAAAACAACATTTGGTGTCAATTAGCGAAATGATTCAAAGAGATAAAAACCGGCCATCAGTGGTCATGTGGTCCATCGCTAACGAACCGCAGTCTTCTAAAAAGGAAGCCGAAGAATACTTCAAGAAAGTGTCGGCTCACGCCAGAAGTCTGGACAATACTCGGCCCATAACTGCGGCCATTAATGCCGAATACAATACCGATAAAATGTCACTTTCGTTGGATGTGTTGATGATAAATAGGTATTACGGCTGGTATCAGGACACCGGTTATGTGCAAGTGATTGAAAAACAATTGACCACTAATATAATGAATTGGTATAACACCCATAAGAAACCAGTTATGATCTCAGAATACGGTGCGGACACTGTGTCCGGTTTGCATCAGGTATTCAACAATGGTTTCAATTAATATAAATGCAATTTAGTAACTAATTTATGACAAATATTAGGACCCGTCGTATGTGTTCAGTGAAGACTACGAATCAGAGTTTCTTATGGCTTATCACAAAGCGTTTGATAACTTAAGAGCCGAGGGTTTCTTCGTTGGCGAACACATCTGGAATTTCGCTGATTTTATGACTGAACAGTGTATGCATTCAATTCATATATTGTTTATATGTTATGATTTAAAGTAATATTGATTTAATATTTATGAATGCAATTGAATAGCGATTAGTCGAGTGATGGGCAACAGAAAGGGTATATTCACGCGGGAAAGACAGCCCAAAGCCGGCGCCCGAATCCTTCGCTGCCGTTATTGGAATTTGGCTCCACTTAAGACTGAACAGCACTCCGGCCTCTCGTACTGTCCTGTCGTCTAATCGCAAACATTTGCTCACAAATAAAACTTCAAAAATATTTATAATCTAAAATCGATAATAAGTTGTGAATAACTTATTGTTAATGTAATAAAATTATTTCTGGACATAAAATTCTTAATTCATTCATTTGAATAATAAATAAAGTTATAAATATTTGCAATTTAACTGAATTTTAAGTAAACATGCTCCTTAAATACAAATAAAATAAAAAATATTTAGAGTATAATTTAATTAAAATTACCGCATATTGGTTTAAAATCTATTTAAATAAATGCAATTTTGGTTCCCGTTTAAACATGTGTGTAAAATGATTGCTATTTAATAGATTTCATTTGAGAATAATTTTCTATATGTTTTTAATTGAAAGACTCGTCGATTGAATAAAAGTTATTGAATAAAAATAATGCATGATTTAATGAATAATATAATTTATTAATTATATAATAATATAGTACAGTAATTTCAATTCACAAATAAATATGATTACTTGTATTTATATATTTTTATCGATTCCTGTTTTTCTCCATACGATTATGATTTTTTGTGATCTCAAAAATTATATCTAAAACTAATTTATCATTTGTTTAAAATTGACGGCACTTTTTGAGTGATTGATTGATTGGCTGGTATTGTAGTCTTAAAGTTATAAATAAGTTATAAATAAAAATTTTGAAAATAATATGATTTTCCTAACAAACAAAGTAATAATAGAGAATAAAATGCGGTTTAAATTATAAATAATAAAAAATACAATTAATGAAAGCAAAAACAGGGAAATATATATTGAATTTTTATCATTAATAATGTTATTTTCAGCTCACGTAACAAACACTTATATTTTCCATATCAACGTTCAAAATACAATCAACAAAGTTATCAAAATAAGTTCATATATGATATAATAGTAATAACAATTGATTATGTCTTTTGTAAGGATATTCATATTATTCAATGTATAATAAAATCCATTTCATTTTTCTGTTTCTTTCTTTTCAGTAGAAAAAACTTAATATAAGTTTTTGTGATGTCTATCGGACTGACGGAGAAAAATACTTGAATACCTTATGAATACCTTATTCTGTTATCGTTTGACAATAAAATCTTTGTATTAATGAACACTTATATAAAGATTGAGTATATATTACTATTATTATAACAAAAGAGTATAATACTAGTCATTAGTCGAGCTTTAATCACAATTTTCTGGTCATTTCACTGATAGTGTTTGTAACTTATGTTTGTTTGTGTGGTATTTTGTACACCAATATATAATTAATTCACTTATTATATAACGTCTAGGTGTTTGTATTTAAAATATGTTATCACTGATAGAAGTGTAGTGCAAACCAATCATATACTGTATTAACACTAATTCAAAATTAGTCTCATATAATAATATACAAAACTTATATCTTTTGTTAATCACTTAAAAACAATATTTATTTCACAAATAAATAAATAAATTTTAAATATTTTTGTTTAATGTATTTAACATAGAATAAAAACATTATCACTAATAACTGTATTTAATGAGCAAATAATAATAATATTTAATAAACCTTTTTTCATGACATTACTCTTTTTTACCATCAAAAATTACTCAAACATTTTTTCCAAATGATTAACAATATTATACAAACACTATATAATTAATTCATGTGTGAATACAAGCAATTATTTTTTATCAATAATTGTCTTATAACTGTTATAATAGTATTAATAATAATAATAATTATCTTTTAATTACTATAACACACTATATATGTATATAATATAACTTTCATATGAATCATATACTTGTAAATAGCATTTAAAGTATCATTATTTAAAAACTAAAATAATTTTCTGATTTGATTTAAATTTTGATCGAAAATAAGCACTCATTTGTAACAAAAATATTTCCCTCGAATTTATAATAATGAATAAAATGTATATCAAGTAAATTATGACACAAATATTCATTTAGATAACTCTTGAAAAACATATATATTTTGATTTACAAATATTTGAATAAACAAATGAAACGCCAATTAATTTGAATTATTATAAGAGTCGACGTAAAACATCTCGGAATCGGTTTGAAAGCCTATCAGACAGTCGTTATCATGAAGTGCTAGACTAGAAGACGAGCCTTTCGATTGAGGGGTCGCCGGAGGTGTCGAGAGAGTCGCCAATAATGACTGATCCAATTGTGGATAATTTGTTTC